TGGAAAATAACTGAAACTCATCTGAAGGTCAAAATGAAATTAAAATAAAAACTAATTAGACAAAAAACGAATGCAAAAATAATAACTCTGCCAGTAAAGATGTCCGACTAATCTATAAATATTTCTTACTTTAAACTTCAGCGTCTGATTTAAAGGGACTGTGTATCTCTGCATTCTGTTTTTACATGTAAGCCTCTAAACGTTTTGTAAAGAGGGTTGTACGATATAAAAATACAGTTTTTATTCCCGAACTTATTTTTACGTGATTAGAGGAATAAATATCTTCAACCCTAAAATGAACTTTAAGTATCAAAATCGACCCTTTAGAGTCTTATTACGTAAAAATGTTCTATGACTGTTTTACTGCTGTTGATGCCTTAAGATTGACATGTTTGGAGGAAATCCCATTTCTTCTTTCCTACTTTATATATTGCTAAATTATTGAGTCTGCTATGCATGCTGTTTTATAAGATCATTATTTGTTTTATATTTTAAATATATATTCAAATGTAAAATAAAATATATCATATATTTACATTTTTAATGGGAACGGTTTCAGTGAGAATCTCCACTGTTGTGTAGCTGAAACAAGGGATTTTCTGTAGTTTACAGTTTGGTCTCAGTAGTACCTGTGTGGATGAACACGGGACTGCTGGGTTGGCTACAGCAGCCTCTGTTGTGGCCTGTAACAGTAAAGTTATACATCTCTCCACAGTCCAGACTAGAGAACTGACACGTGGAGGTCACTGAGTCACACGTTTTCTCTTCCCCTCCTGACGCCTTGATGGCACTCGCTGTGTACAGTTCAACATTAGGCCTCTCTTCCCAGGATAGGACAGCAGTACGGGAGCTGCACTGCAGATTGACAGCTACTCTCTGAGGAGGGCAAGGACCTGAGGAAGATGTTTATGTTTGTTTTATTGTGAGCAAATGAAATCAGCAGCAGCCATGCATGCACATTACCTGCAAAAGCTCACTCACGTGTGGTAAAGTTAGACAGTGTCTGTGTGCTGAGGCTGCACTGGTCGTTGCTGGCGTTGATGCTGAGACTGTAGGTTTCCCCACAG